TTCCTGTCGATTTAAAAAGCACTTAATTTAGCTTAGAAAGAGTTAATTTAACTAAGAAAAATTTATTCGAATTAAAAACATTTCATTTCAATAAAAAAAAAAAACTGTCAGCCTCTAAAATTCAAAAGTTTCTTTCAACTGTTTGAAAAAATAAAATAAAATAAAATAAAGACAATTAATAAAGCATCTATTAGTGTTGAGTCTGGGGAAGTCCTGCTTGACCCCTCTCTATTTCTAGATCCTGTCCTTAACATCTAAGTTCCTCATTCTCGGGGTTCTCGATCCCCTTAGGCATAAGAGCGCGCTCCACAAAATTGCAATAATAATAATAATAATAATATTAATAATAATAATAATAATAATAATAATAATAATAATAATAATAATAACACGTACCAGGAGTTGAAGAGAGAGCTCAAAAAGCTTTGGAAGTGTAAGGAAGTCACTATTGTGCCCGTGATTATTGGCGCCCGAATCGAAGAAATGGTTGCAGGTGCTGGACGTGACCAAGGAACTAGAGCTGCTACAGAAAGTATGCCTCTTGAATAACAAGGATCCTTAGTCACACCAACATTAATTCCCCTTTTATCCATCTATATAATATTGTGATTCCTACATAAGTTCAGTAACATCTGTAAACCTGAAGAAGGCTGGTATAGCCAGCCGAAATATTGTTATGAAAAAACAATACGCGTTGTTCTGAATCAGCTTTCCAGTAGTCTTTGGACTTCTCGTTTTTGGTTCTTGTATTTTGGCTTATTAGTTCTTTTTCCTATGGAGATCCAACGATTACAACTAGCAGGATCTTCGTCCACAGTTTTTTCAGTTAATTTAATTCCTTTAACAGTATATGCTTCAATGGACAAGAAAGTAAATAAGGGGCTAATTTGATTTTAAAAATGATGTAATGAAAAGGGAAGTCTTAAGGTGGTATGTTCTTAAATTCTTCATTGTGGCATGTTGTCCTCTCAAAAATGTGGAGATGCCACCGCAAAAAGATTAAAAACCATACGTTTCGCTACCCTAAGCCAGCAGCAAATGCACTTGAACTTAACGATAGTTTAATTCCAAAAGCTTATTTCACTAATGAACTTTCAAGTCTGAAGACTACATTTCCTTGTACTTTGTACAGACATTCAATTGCCTGTTTTGAGAGCGAATTTTTTTAACTTCAAAATTTTTGGCGATAAAATTTTTGACTGACATATATATCATTCAAGGAGGGCTCTTGCATTACATACTTCAAAGAAAGCATCACGTAAGAATAGATGGCCGCCAATGATATAATTATTTTCTTCGGCCTTTTATTAACTGGATTTACTTTTTTTTGCAACGAAATGCCATAGCAGTTCTGGTAATAGTTAACGTTAAGGAGACTATCAACACTCCCTTACGTAGTTGGCTGCAGCTTTCGGGAGACGGTAGATCGCTTGAATCGACGTCGATTACGAAACCGCCTGTCCATGGTCTTCGACGTTACCACGACTCATTGATACAATGCTGCTAATAAAGTCGGTTTGAATTTATCGCAGGATAGGATGCAAAGTTCGTGGCACATTGAAATAATTGCTAGCTCGACGGAGGACAGAGGGCGTAGAAAAAAAATCATTTGCCGTTGCATTTTTCAATTACACGACTGGAGTAAATGACAGCTTAATGGTTTAATAAACAAAATTGTCTACTTTGCCAAAAAATTGGCGGGGCAGCACTTCGGCTTCATTGAACATTGGTGGAATTTTGGCAATCGGCAAAAAATTGGTTAGAATTTTTAATGTGGGGTCGCAGTTATTTCTCGTCATGTGTCGACAGATGGAGGTACTTAAACAAACAAAATTCGCCTTAGTGCGACCCGGGCCTTATTCGTAAGTAGCGATATTGTTGGTTTAAGGAATATCATAATAATTACAGAACCTGTCAAGCGATAAATAGCCTACGTTCGATATATATGACTCCCAGGCTTTTTGGTCATTTTCCTTATTTGGTTTGGTTTTCTTTGCGCTCAAGTCTCTTCTGGGAATTGCGAGACAGTGGAGAGTGAAAGAGTGAGAGAGAAATGAAAACGTTGCAATGTCTCCTCCGAGTCATCGAACGTGGGCTATTGCTTGAGCGATTTCATCTAATTTGAATTTGATAAGGAAAAACTGCAAAAAGGTTTAAGCGCTTATGATTGTCATAGTTCACGGAAAATTTACGCTGGCATCTGTTTAATCACACCATCTTAATTTGTGTTGGTGATTAGCCAAAGCAGTTGAGCCTTCCCATCCTCGGAAACTCTACTTGCTGAGTAAACTTTCAGGTAAGTAAAATAATTTGCGGAGGGTCAATCTTGATATCTCTTCTGCTGGCCATAAGGCTTCGCACATAGAATTGGTTGTTTGTTGCTAAATGCGTGTCTACCAGTTGAGTAAACAAGTGTGGCCTCAATAATCCAACCCGTGAAAAAATTCGTGGCCGCTAGATTGATCACGCTACCTGTCTATTCCAGTTCTCAATCCGGTTT